AAGGTTGCTGACTGAAGCAAAAGCCAATGCATGTATAGACTCTGCATTTCACTTTTCAAGCTATTTTAGTTGCCTAATCTCCATTCTTCAAGGAGACATATTCTAAACGTTTCTACCACCATAAATATATTTTGAGATCCTGAAAATTATAAAATGATTGGCAATGTTCCTCCTAACCCTAACTCAAATCTTAACCCAGTCCTGAGAAATGCCATCTCAAAGCCTGTGTTACAGCCAGCTACCCCAGTGCCACAGTGGGAAGCAGCAGATACCACAGCCCAGCCACAGTTACAGCCCAGTACTAGGGCAAAAACCTGTTCACATACAGCACCATGCATGAAGACCCAGCTGCTTCTGCCATCTTCACTTCACAGCCCCTTCCACTATGTGGTGCACCATTCCTGCCACCCCTGCCCTGTCTTGTCCTGGCCTTACTTCCCCCAAGATGAGCTTCATTGTCTTCTTCTTCCTGCTACTGAGCGCACCTGGCCTGGCTCTTCCTTCTGAGATCACATATGTCAGGAGCAAGCAACTCATGGATAGGCCCAAGCAGATATTTTACTGTTGATCACTGATATTACTAGAATTTTTTTCAGATTGTATGCTTCCTCTTGGGAAATGGCTTATATAGATTGAAAGGTTTGATCTCTGGTGTTTCCTCCCCAGAATGAAGTCTAACTTGGACTGTTTTTACTCTTTGGTTTAGCCTCCTCCCCTTCAGCTGGGGATTTAACTACACACAACCTCTTTCCCAAGAAAGCCTTGAAGCAACTCTACAATCATGTGTTTGGGCAAGCAGCCAGGCAACAGCTGTAAATTCAAGGACTGTGTGTAAGTACTATTCATTCAGCACCATCATAATTTTGAACAGTCATTGAACGAATGGTCATTAACTGAGGACTACCTTGTTTGGCAATGCTAAGAGAGCTTTCAGTTTCTGTCAACACTATCAACAAGTACCAATGTCAAAATTGGTGAAGCAAGATAGGTGAAAAAGGCAGCATGGATGAAAAGGGAGGCATTAAGGTTCTCACAACTAGCTCAGTAGCACAACACTTGATCATTAATGCCCAATGAACTTTTTGACTCCCAGCCACCTCACTAAATGGAAGGATACACTGGGTACAAGAAGGTAGTGAACATGCCATCAAGGAAAAATAATGCAATATCTGAATTGTCTTACTGAGTTTATCCTCCCTTCTTTATAATACTGAAAAGGATTTGCCATGAGAAATCTGTATAATATTTCACAATGATGCATACCTAACATTTTCACTATGAGGTCCTCTGTTCAACCTGATTTTGAAAATTCACTGAAGTACTTCAGAACTGTTTTAGATTCCAAGAATCTGATGGAATTTATTTTATACAATATATTTGATTCGGCTAAATGTAGAAATAGGGAATATTCTTCAATAAATGTTTTACCATTAAATTTTCATTCATAGGATTTTACAGATTTTTACAGGATTTCAGAACATCTTGTACAAGTTTCCAACTGCTTCTTATATCTTTTCTTCTCTTTCCACACAAAAAAAACCATTATAGAGGAAATGGCAATATCTGCATAATCAGAGATAGCACTAGGCACTGTTCATCTGAAAGTACCTAATATAAAACTACCTTGCAAAAAAGAATGGCAAATGAAACCAACACCCACAGGTATCAGGAGTATTTTTCATACTATAATCCTTTGAACTAATCATTGAATTATTTCAATGCAATTTATATCCTACATTTGCTTCCTTTTGTTCTAATTCAATTCTACATCTTCAGACATACAACTTTACTCCTTTCCCCAATAAATATTAAATAACATAAAATGCCTGGATGAACTAAATCAAAAACAATTTATCTCAGTGTCAGATTTCCAACAGAAGTCACCATATACTTCCGCGAAAACCCACATGATGATTTAAGTTAATAACTTTCAATTTACAGTTTAGTGACCATTCAGCACCATTTTATAACCATTTTTCACACTTACAACCATTGCAGCATTTCCATGGTCACATGATCAAAATTAGATGCTTGACAAGTGGCTCATATGAGGAAACTAGATTCACCTAACAACTATATTACTAATTTAACAACTGTAGTGATTCACTTAAAAACTATGGCAAGAAAATTGTAATATGTGGCAAAAATCACTTAATTGTCTCGCTTAGCAATTTGGGCTCAATTGTGGTTGAAAGTCAAGGAATACCTGTTCATTTGGAAACACTCTTTCAAAACTGAATTTAAAGCATTGCACAAGTCCATTTTACATGTTAAAACAAAACTTATTGTAAAAATTATTTTCTTTTTCTATAACTATGGAAATAAACAACTGTTTATTTATTTAATAAATAACTGTTTCCCATTCTTTTAATTTGTATCAGGATTTGCCACAGCAAGTAGCAACATTGACTGATTATGAGTTGGTGTACGTTCTTAGGAACCACACGGCGACATATATGATTTACTGGGTGTCATGTTTATGAAAAAAATGAGGATTGTTTTTAATACTGACTTTCCATTTCTTTCTTTCATATTTTTCAAACTCAGTATAATACAGTAACAAGTTTTTGGATATTTTTTGTTAATAAGTTAGTGTAGATTGATGCTATAACTTCAGAAATTTGTGAAGACCTAATTAGACTTGATGTCATACTTTTTTAAATGAAGCCTCTGGGCAAGGAAAATGTAAAGCTACAATTAAGAACGTTTTCCAAATAATAGAAATGGACCACACCCAAATTATGAACAATCTGCTGGCTGAATGCTCAATTTAATTTACCAGGCCGTAATTAGATGCACAAATAATAGAAACTTAAAATTCTATTGCCAAAAGTTTTTGATAAATAAAGTATTGGCTCAATTGTAATTATCAAGAATTCATTAAGTGAAAATTATGCCAATTCTTGAAGTTTAGTTCGAATGCATACATTATGCCAACAAAACATCCCTTTCCCTATAAATAGTCATAAATTATTGCATTACTGGGAAATGTGCTACAAATTATACTCTCCAATTCATTACCTTGCATGGAAAAATTGTGATGTCACTTTATTTATGATAATTATAAACAGATGTTGCATGAACTTTCATCATTTGTAAAAGTAATGACGTTTTCTTTTTACCTAACTGAAAATATATTTCTTTCCTGCTGGATTATTATAGACATTTGCAACTTTAATTAAACAGAAGTCTAGTGCTATTTGCAGGATACAACTACAGATGATGTTCACTTAACAATCAAAATTGGAACCAACTACTTCTCTAAGCAATGAGGTCATTAAGTGAGACCTCACGTCATGGTAAATTTTTATTTTACTGATAGATTCTCCATTGATTCTGCTTGTGCAAAGCCAGCTTTGAAGCATGCAAACAGTGTGCATGTGATTGCAGGAGGCCGCAAAGTCATAAACTCCTGCAGATTGCAAAGTGCCTGAAACTCGATCACATTAATTGTCATAACTTAAAACAGTGGCTAAAGAGGGCAGTTTATTACAGGAGGACCACCTGGTATTAGTATAATGGTTAAAGCATCAGGGAAGAAATCAGGTAAAGCCAGCTGGGTGACCTTGACCCAGTCACTATTTCTCAGTCTAGGAAGGAGGTAATGGCAAACCGCTTCCCCAAAAATATTTTCAAGAAAACTGCAGAGACTTGTCTAGGCAGTCTTAGAGAATTGGATATGATTGAATTGGAGTGGGAGAAATCCAGACCTGGCATTTATATCTTGCTGTTCAGAATTATTGGATTACTTCTTGTTTGATCTTAATTTACCAGAGTTCCAAAGGTATGGCTAAAGCAGTTTTTATCAGAAAGACAATTGGGATTCACTCAGGAGTTTCCAGGTCTTTATCCATACTCACAATAGTATCATTATGGTGCCCATTGAGTCAAGAGCAGATTGCCATTTGAATTATAGTCAGCAGATTTTTGTTTACTTGTTGTTTTCTCTTGTACTGAACAGTTTTGGATGCTACTTTTTACTAGTGCTATTAAGTATATTGTTCTTTATCTATCTGGCCCAATACTTGAAGTGTGGAATGCTAGTCAAGCATGCGGCCTGTAGGCCCATAAGCCCTGGAGGTGGCCCAGGAGGCTGTCCTGGAGACAGTGAGGAACCTGCCCCTGCTGCCTGGCCATGCACACCCATTCAGCCGCGATGACCAGGCCCGCCTAGCCTAGCCCCTCAAGGGCAAACAAACTCCTGATGTGGCCCACAATGGGATCAAGTTTGACATCCCTAGTCTAGACTATAGGGTTTCTCAAGAAAAAAACATTTGTTGTAAAAATACATGTGCATTTATGTATGCTTGTATGTACAAATCTTGAAAAATGATTTTATGTATGTGTTTACTTATTTATATACATCTGTAATAATGCATAGAGGTTGTTTGCTCTAATGAACTTGTACAGGAAGGGACCAGAATTCAAAAACAACTTGAAGGTACTAAAAATAAAAATTCATGCACATGTCCACATGTCCAATCCTAATTGAAAAATGCTTTTCACATTAAGAGGAAAGTAGAAAGTTGCAGTGATCTTCAGAAGAGCTGGTGGATTCCATGATCCCTATGCTGGTGCAAGATGGCATTTTGCTGCTGATGTTACTATCAGTTGGTCTGTAATTTTGAGGAATCCTTATTTGGATCCTGGATTTCAATCCTGACACGCTGTCCTAGAAGCATTATTTATTTCCCTATATTTATTATTGATTTATTTTTAATATCATCAATATGCTTCTATTACAACAACAACAACAACAACAACAACAACAACAACAACAACAACAATAATAATAATAATAATAATAATAATAATTTTAAGAAGATACTTGATTGATACCTAGGATCGTAGCAGCAACCTGTATCAACCATCAGCAGCAATCAATGATATTTGTGACACATTTTTAAATTTTAAGTTGACTGAGTTTCATGTGTAATGAATGAAATAACAACAACAACAATAATAAGAATAATTTATGCAGAGATGTGTGTGTAACATACCGTTCTGACCCCATTCTCAAAGGCCTGGCGTGTTAAAGAAGCTGGTCCATCAACTGTTTTTCCATCATCATCAGGACCCCAGCTAGCGCTGTAGATATGTATATGCTGTGGATTGAGGCTCAATGATTTTGCTTCTACCATGTCTGTAACATCACCATCTAACATCCGCACTCCTTGGGTGAAAAAAGAAAACTTTGATTTGATATAATACATTTGTATGTCCATTTAGCAACAAATAATCCTTGCTGGTGGCTTGTACGAAAACAACATAAAATATTCACAATGTATGCCCCCCCCAATTAAAAATAGCAGTAGCAAAAAACATCACCCCAAATTATAACTATGATAGCGTAAAATGAATACTTAGTCTTTCTAAATAAGTATTCTAAGTTCTGAGTGTTGCTTAAGAGGCCAGGTTGAATCAAAGGAGCCTCTCTGGATATCTTATTTCATAACTGAGATGTCACCATGAAGATGGTCCTGTCTTTAGTAACCACTTACTTTTATTTCACTAGCAGGAACATCTTGAACATACTAATTGTTTAGGAAAGCTACTTCCAAGATATTAAAGGCTCTATGAATAAGAACCAAAAGTTCAAATTAAATTAGGAAATGAACTAGACAAAGTGCAGTTGGCATAACAACATAGGAAAGGGAAAAAAACCTTTCCCATATTTATATTCACCCACAAAACTTTCAGTACTTTGATCACTTAGACATTTATTCATTATGTACCATTTTCTGTCTCAATTTTCTGTCTATTGTACTAATTTATATAAAATAAACCTAAAAATAATTACTACACTACTTACTACACTTTTCTGATAAGCTGCTGGAACTCTTGCCTTATACCCTAAGATAGACTATTGGCATCTAGATTCAATTAGTGCCCTGACTTTTTCTTCTCTTTCTTGATACCTCGGTTAACTGCTGGACTTTGGTTGGGCACTATCTTACCTCATTCCTTGAAACTTTGTAATCTGGCTAGAAGGAAGTAAGCCCTACCTGACTGTCACTCTTTTCAGGCAAAGACAACAATTGCCTGTAGCAGGAAACAAAGCTCAGCACAACTTTGTACCTTTGGGAATGTGTGACACACAGACAAAGTGACTAAGTAAAACAAAATAAATAAATGCTGAACAAGACTAGCATGATCGTGTTAAATCAGCGGTTTGAGTCAACAGTCATTCATTTTTCAAGCTCTACAACTGACCCAAAATACCTGGGGAAAGGACCTGCTGTTTCTCCCAGAATTGGAGCCAAAGTGCTAGGTACAGCCATTTTAATCTATACAATCCTGTCAGAAGTACTGTGTTGGAGGTATTAAATTGTCACATAATAGTACCAGCGCTGTTTAAAATTTTATTTTTGCAAGTGATGTCACTTGCAAGCACAAGTTAAGAACAAAATATAAGATTGCTGTCACCAATTTGTTGTAAAAATTTAATTAATCTATGAATGATTAATTTCTAATCTAAAATACATCTTCATTGAAATATAATTCCGTCTCAGTTCTAGATGACGACAGTGATTAGTATGATTATGCTGTCTGATGCCCAACAAATGTGGGCATTTCAGAAGAAAAATATTTTTTTAAATATAATAAGAGACACAAACAAAAGAATTAAAAAGGCAAAGATGACAAGAACTGACAAGATGACAAGAACTAAAAAGAAGCAAATCCATACAATCCAAGTAGATTGTGCAATGTAAAGCAAATTCTATTATTTAATTAGAAAGAATACTGGTAGTTGCAAATTAACCTGATACTAAGATATACAGAAGCCATGTCTTAAAAAGCCATGATAAACATAATAACTATTTTCTCATTTAATAAGCAAATTGATATTTATAATTTAAATTAGCATATTTTATTTAAATAACAACTTTGTTCTTCTCAAATTGTTAAATACTAATTGACACAAGACTTGACTGTTTCATTGGTATAACTCTACTTTTCTTGTCTCCTGCTATTACTAATTACATAATTGAAACTGCAGCATATTATATGTATTGTGAAATTTACACAACAATTTTTCATGCCCTGTAAGATAATACTTATCTTAAGGCACCAGACTAGAAAGCAGGAGACTCTGAGTTCTAGTCCTGCCACAGCCATGATAACTAGCTCGGTGATTTTGGGCCACTCTCTCTTAGTCTAACTCACCACACAGGATGATTGTTGTAGAGAGAATATGAGCAAGAAATATTATTATACATCCTGGTCGCCTTGAGTTATTCATAAAATATCTAAAATAAATCAATTAAAAATACCAATTCCATTGCAAATTTGTCTAAATGAAAAAAAACCAATGACCTCTATTTATATAATAAATAATAAAGATTATCTGACATAAATATTATCAGAAAGATAATTTTCTATGGAAAATGAAAATATTTTTCCATATTAGTTATTTAATATATGCTATGCCAGGTTTTGCTTCCAGAGATAATACAGAGAAAACAGTCCTTCGAAGTTCACTCAGTAATAGAATAGAATAAAAACTTTATTGTCACTTTAAATGTACTCTAATTGGCATCCATTAAAATGAAATTTTATTGCATTCAGCTCTCAAAAGATAATCATTATGCATATACCCACTTGGATGATTCATTCCATGAACAGAGGCCCATATGAATACATATGACTCTGATCTCCCTATTTGCAATTTTGCATATCCACAACTGATAATCATGCATAAATATCAGCATATACCTATACCATTTTCATGTATTCTTGCTTTGGCCTCATGTCTTGTCCATGCCATGCCATATCCTAGCAGAAATCTTGCAGCAAATAAGTATAAGCAAATTTATAAGCCAATAAGACTTTCTTGCTTGCACTGTTCATTTGAGAACTCTATACAAATTTTCACTTTGGGGGCAGTTCAAGCAGACATTTTTCTTGGTTTTCCAGTTGTGCTATGTAATTTTCATTTCTCAACAGTGGTTTACGCCATTCTAATTGGAAACTGATAGATTTAAAGATTTTCTAAATATATCCTTCACCTGTTTTGCAAGAGTAAGCTACCTTAATTATAAAATGCTCAGACAGCTGACATTTGAAAGCAGACATAACAAAAAACATAACCTGAAACTGTTAGAAGGGTTGGAGTATTTGTTTCCCTATGAAATTGGGATTCCCCCCCCCCTAAGTATAGGCTTAATAAGTCAATCACCTTTCTTCTTTGTTAACAACTTTACAGTGAAGAAAAACAAACAAAACAAAAGCCTGAATCTATTAGAAGTATGTCCAAACGTTTTCATATTCACTGTTTCCTAATTCAACTGCACATAAATAGCAGGTATATATTCAATTTTCATAGAGATATCGTGATTGACAGGGTCCTTCTTGGAACACGTGAAAGAGCTCACAGGATGAAGAAATCAGGGGCATAAGCAGGTTGATGCCATCTATCATTAGCTTAATTGAGGTGTTCCAAAGGAGATGGCCATCTGCTATGGGGAAGGCACATGTCATCTAATCTTCCACAATCAAGTGAACCAAGTGAAAAGAAAATGTAGCTACATTGTGCAGACAACTATAATAGAAGGTAGAAGAAAGAAATGCTCAAAGCAGAGTGCAGTCATAGGCATAGTACAGCATACATAACCTGAGTCCCAATTCTCATAAACTGTACATATTTTGTTAAATACATTTTTTTCTATATAATGCTTTATAAATAAAGTATTGGAATAAAATAGGTACAAATAAAAAGAATCACCTGTATTTAAGATACAACTTCAGTTAATTTAAGAAGCATCCCCAAAACCATTGGGTTCCATAAAATCAACAAGGTGTGTTGTGCTCCTTGAGCACTCAGAGATTATACCGTTTATGGACAATTTTAAAAATATTTCCCTCTGAAATAAAGGCTAAAGACGGTGAATTAAATTCCACTAAGATTAACTCTTTGTTTTATCTTTTAAGGCATCACATTTCATAAAGAAACATAGGGAACCTGATCACATTTTGGTGATCTGACTACATCACTAACATGCCATTTACAACCTTAAGATACTCCCCACAAATTCCTTCTGATCTAAAATATACTTGACACCCAATCATTTTATAATAGTATTTCATATATTTGAATATTGTAAATGGAAGAGGAAGAGTGCAGTTACTACCATCTGGCTTCACCTTTTCTGGCAGCCAAACTAAGGTTAATACAGTTATAGGGCTTTACAAAAATCCCCAGTTCTGTTATGTTAGTGCTTAACCAATGCAATGCGGTCAGGACTTGAAAGATTGAAATTCAATTTTTGAAAGCTTACTGAATGATAATGGCCCAGTCCCATTAATAACACAGATCTTTTGTTCTGGGGAAAGATTGAAGATTGTAATGCTAGATATAAGTACTGCACTGTTGGAGAAAAGGCAGAATACAAATCTAATAACGAAATGCACAAAATACTAAGAGCTTCTTTAAGGCAATTCTCTTTTATTCTTTAAAGAATTATCATATTTAATATACTGCGGTTGAACTAACCCTATCCATAAAATTGCATATTTTGCCCAATTTCTTGTTCTTTGAAATTCCTTTTTCATCTGATATTTGGAGAATGACATCAAAAGAAATATCCGAATTTTCCCAAAGCTGTGATTATTTTACTTTTAAGGAAACCAGTTGCAATATATCATCTAAATTTAGACATTTCACTGTTCTTTGAAGAAGTTCTGTGATGTTGTTTGAATAAATGGATATTTGTCTGGTTTGAATGCAAACTGTTTTCCCAGTTTACATGACAAAAGAAGCCAAAATGGATTATAAATATCTATATACACAATAGCAATGGGAATAAATAATATTATGTATTACATATGCATTGATTGTATACTATCAGGTCCAAATGACTACATAGATATATATAATAATATTAACTCCTTCATCTGTTGTTCAAGTTAATATTAATAATTAATAACACTTATTTTAAAAAACACACATAGAAAATATATCTCTCAATTATAAATTATAAATATGTGGCTTTTCACTTCAGCAAAAATGAATGTGTGTAGTTATAGATGGATGATTAATTATTTTGAAATAACTATAAGGCATTCATAACTCTCTCTCTCTCAACACTATTTGTATTAGCAAGTTAATATGGGCAATAACATCACCATGTAGATCTTGCTTTATTTTCCTTAGGTAGATTTGGCAGATTGGTTTGGCTCATACCATTTCTGAAACATAAATTCATTCCAGTCAAAAATAACAGAGGGACAAAGAACAAAACAAATTAATTTGGAGTTTTTATTTTATTTTTTTATATATGCACACTGGTTTCTAGACTAATATCAGAACCAATATACAAACTGGCTCTCAGGATGCTGAAATATTTAGCCCACAAATAAAGTGGGAGAAAAGAAGTAATTTTGGGGGGACATCTCTAGTATTCTTTACTTTTTAATGAATAGAAAGGACATACAACATGTTCTTAAGACTGTGTGAGGTGGGTGAGATTTGCCTCAAAGTGACACTTCATTTTGCAAAGGCACTGTATTTTATATTGTTTAGGAAAAGAATGAACATAATTTGCTTCAAGTCAACAAGCACCATTTGGTCTAAACTTTTAGTAAATCAAACAGTTCTTTTGAGAGGAAGGACAATTCCCTGCAGGACATAAAAATTGGAAGAGACTTTTATGCATGCAGAAAAAGATATATGCCAGAGAAAACTGCAGAGAACACGTCAGGGTAGAGTGAATCACTATTATTGGAAGAGGCCATATTAATTAATAAATTTTCTTATGAACTTTTGTTGAAGCCATTCATCCCCTCAAAGATTTAGACAGTCTTAAAAGTTGTAGAAGGGAGATTAAAGTAACATAGTATAGCTAGTAATTTTACTAGCTATAGTAATTGCTTCATTATTATCGCAGTAAAGCAACAGTGAAGGTATTTTTTTTCTCAAATAATGTATGTCACCATAAAAATGAGGCTTATCAGTTATGCTTAAGCACTTTATAGTTAAATGCAAAAATAAGTGCATGAAAATGTTATGTAGAATAAATTTAACACTATAACTATACACACACTTACCAGGCATAACTGCCATGCTTACTGAACAAAGTGACTTACTTTGACTTAGATAGGGCTTTATTAATTTTAAAATATTACTTTTAAATAATAATTACACTTACCTCCAATTCTGGCATTATATGCAATTCCTACTATGCAATGTGAGTTATTTGCTGTAGCTGCTACTTCTCCAGCACAACGGGTTCCATGTCTATGGAAGGAAAATATTTTAAATTAGTTAAATTAGTTAGCTCCAGTTAACAGTGGCAGCGTTCTAGGACCCACACTCTTTATACTCTATATAAATGACCTTTGCGATCACCTTATATGCAACTGCATCTTCTTCACGGGTGATGTAAAACTATTCAACACCACCAACAATGCTACTGCTCTTCAAAGTGACCTTGATTATGTGTCTGAATGGTCAAACATCTGGCAATTCCAAATCTTGACCAATAAATGCTCTATCCTACACATTAGTAAAAAAAATCAGTACACCAAATACAAACTTGGCGGATATGACCTCATTGATGACCTTCACTCTGTCAAGGACCTAGGAGTACTCATCTCTAATGACCTAAGCGCCAGAGCTCACTGTAACAGCATTTCCAAAAAGGCATTAAGAGTTGAAAATCTAATCTTATGAAGCTTCTCCTCGGGAAATATTGAATTGCTAACTAGGGCATAAAAAACCTTTGCTAGACCAATACTCGAATACAGCTCACCAGTCTGGAATCCGCACTGTATATCAGACATAAATACAATTGAGCGAGTCCAGAAGTATTTAATGAGAAGAGTAATACACTCTTCTGCTCTCAACAGAATACCCTATATCACCAGGCTTGAGATTTTGGGCTTGGACAACCTTGAACCGCCTATGGTTGGACTTATGCATAGTACACAAAATTATCTGCTACAATGTCCTACCAGTCAATGACTACTTCAGCTTCAACCACAACAATACACACAACAGATACAAATTCAATGTAAACTGCTCCAAATTTGATTGCAGAAAGTACGACAGCAATAGAATGGTCAATGCCTGGAATGCACTACCTGACTCTGTTGTAACATCCTCTAATCTCCACTCCTTTAACCTCAAACTATCCACTATTGACCTCACTCCATTCCTAAGAGGTCTGTAAGGAACATAGTGCACAATCGTGCCTACTGTCCCTGTCCTATTGTCCCCATTTATTTGTACCTATTTCCTGTATTTTTACTCATGTTTATAGTTAAACCTATTATCTTGTAAGTGATTGACAAATTAAATAAATAATAATAAAATAGGGATAACACTGGTTACCTAACTTTGTTTGGCTAAATATAATATATGTTTGTTAGTTTAAATGTGTGTGTCACTTTAAACTGTAAGCCAAGTATTTGGGTGCGGTTGTAAATCGCCATAAGAGGGAGCAAGAGAGCTCACTGTTCGCCGGCTTTTACTGGAATGCTGACAGAGAAGGATTGATGGTGATTACTGCATGCGTTTGCTGAGAGAAGAAAAGAAGGTTTGATTTTGCTTCATATCTCTGACTGCAAAAGAGATACATCATTGGACTGATTGTTTGTGAGTTGAACGACCTATTTTCTACACTGGACTTTGCAAACTGAATAACCCTCGGACTGTCTGAACTTAGTGTATGACATATGGACTGCTTTGACTATGCTATAACTCTTGCTGGAATAAAAACTATTTAACTGCACAGTGTATCTGTCTTACTGATTGTAAAGCTACAACAACGCTTTATCTCACACACACTCTCTGTCTGCTTGACTGCCGTTGCACGTTCTGCTAGGGTGTTGTATCCCTAACAGGTGACATTATTGCAAACAGAAGTATTTTTTTACTATTATAACAAGTCAAATAAGAAGCAAGTTAAATTTACTTCAGAAAGTGACCTGCACTTTTCAGACTGAAGGAACTTCCTAGATGAGAAGTGAACCATCTTCAAGGAAAAACAAAGAAAGTCCAGTTGCCACTTGAAAAAGCACCTTTGGACATTGGAAGTTATAGCACTAGCCTGAAGAGGCCAAGATAGAGACCACCAGAATTGTTCCAATGAGGCAAACCAAATCATTGCTTTATTTCATTGAAGTGAATTATCAGGCTGAATAAGCTTCTTGGATGAGAAGTGAACCATTTTCAAGGAAAAACAAAGACAGTCCAGTTGCCTCTTGAAAAAGCACCTTTGGGACAATCATGATCTGGATGACTGAGAACCTCCATAGACACATAACTTCTAATGCATTCCAATGGTAGGTTGGACATAGGTTGGGACTGACAAGAAGGTTCTCCTCACCTTTCTTTGATAGTGTGAGCTCTGCAGGCAAAAGCTGGGTTTGGCTCTGAAGAGGTAAGATGTAGTCATTTTACTTTGCTCTTAGAATAACAGTTTCTCAAGGACTTCTTTACAAAGAGAGTTTTTTTCCCCTCAGGAATCAAGACTAGACTAATGGTCAGGTGTCATTGCAAGCATATTAATGCCAAATAAGACAACTGCACAGTACTGATTTATTTATTAGTATAAACATAAATGGAAGAAATAGCAGATATTGAAATGCAATGATGGCATTTTAAAAAATGGATCTGAAAAAGATAGGGAGTATACAAGACTTGCATACTTCCTCATAAAATCAGTTATATCAATTTTGCAGCTATGCCTCATCACCAGTTAAAATTAATGTAATATAAAATTATACATCCATTAGTAATGTATCCAAATAGTAAACAACATCACTTTTTCTATCTGAAAAAATATGTAGAAACAATTGATGCAATCTTTTTGTAATAATAAAACTTTGTCCATTTCAAATGTGCATAATCAAAACTTTGAGCCTGTACAAGCTGAGGAACTCAAATCTCACAGGCTATCAAAAGGATATTTAAATGGATATTTAAACTTTACAAAGTAATAAATCTTTTTGCTTGTTTACATGTTGTAAGAATTTAGAAGAAATTATACCATAGAGTATCCATAAACTAATTCTTGAAGTATTGGGAAAATATATTACCTAAGCTTCTTTTAAACAATTGTAATTATCTTGACAGATAATATAATTTATATAATAAAAATATAAAATCAAGTCTGTAAGTTGTGTTCATCCATGTATCTGAATATAGTAATGGCATTCTCAATACAGAATTCTAATCTCTTTTCAAAGAGATTAGAACACGCATATTCTATCCCTCATATTATTTTCCTTGAGATTTACACTGTATTTCTTCTTCCACAATCTTTTCTCAATTGCAGTTCTACAGCTCCTGATGTCTGACACTCCACTCTCTTTTGAAAGTTTAAAAAACCAAAACAAAATAAAATTTCTCTCTGTCCCTGAAATTTGCTAGTGAGTTTAAGCCTCTTCAATATACAGGAAACCTCAGCTGAGAAATCAGAAATGAAAATGAAGACTAAAAATGAATGTAATGATGAAAGATTAGGCTGTAGAGGCAAGAATTTCCTATTAGATAAACCAGAAAACCAGTGATTTTGTAGGCAATATAAATGAACCTCACAATAATAATAATAAATAATAAACTTAGGCAATAGCAAAGATCAATATTTTCTATGGTGATGCGATTATTTTTCAAGTTCTTCTGCAATAAAGATATTCCCGCATAATACACTAAATAAAACACTAAATGTGATGCTCTTTATGCTGTGGAAGTGAAAGAATGCTGGCAAAACGAAGTCACAAATGTTCATGTTATTAGCCATTTACTCCAAGTACGTCAGCAATGTTTGTGCAGCTGTGTTGAAAGAATTTCAAGGGATTATATGTTATTTTCTTCTGTCCTCTCTGCTCATCTACTGATCCACCTGCTGCTTTGGATGATAACTTCCTTAGAAGTAGCAATAGCTCGCAATAAAAAGAATAAGGCTTTATTTACAGTTTATGAAAAAGATGCTACCATAGGTTTTGATAATATAGTAATAAAATTATTTCAAACAAGGTTGAAATGTTAAAAGTGGGGATGCATGTTCAAAGCAGAAGTGTTGTTGATGATGAACAGATAAAACTTTCTGTAATTAGATACTAATATTTTAAAGTTGCTAAATATTCATTTTGCTACTCTGAATCCAGCATTCATGATGAATCCCGGTTACATTTTCTTTGCTAAATAGAAATAGAAAGAGATCAAATGCTTTATATACAAATATACTGTAAATAGACTGACCAAGTTAGTTAAGGGAACTTGAAAAAAGTACATATTTCTCTAAAATTGTATAATGAATAAATAGACATACCAAACTGTTGTTTTTAATTCTCTACACATACTTTTCCACATTCAGTAGTAATAAAGCAATCTTAGTCTCCTGCATGGCACCTTGTGGGACAGTTAAGTACACATTAAAGTCCACTGTCATTAATGGCAAAATAAAGAGTGTGGAGTAATGGATAGCTTCAGATGATGCTTCCACACAGCTGTTGTTATTTAATAGGCAAGAATAATGTAACAACTGGTAAGTGAATTAAAGGCTTTGCATGAATTAGAGGTCCAATTCTTTGCAGTAAGACAAAAACACCCCATAATCCAATTAAATTGCATGCATATAATTTTCCCCAATGTTTTTTCAAAAGAAGGAGGGTGGGAATCACGTATTGCAGTCATCTATATCAGTGAAAAGAGACATTTCTCATCTCTGGTACGGACCCTGATATTTTATAAAATAGGCCAAGATCAAGAGTTTTTGATTTTCTGTTACAAGATGAAGAGTAAAGTATAGGGGAAATGCCCTTTCTCCAAATTCTGAAATTCTCATTTATTGAGAAGCCTTAATAGTGCTATAAAACTTTGTTTCAGGATATCTGGCGCTGTATCACTTATATGGTGTGCATATCTTTCACATCTTGTTACAGATTCCATTTGTTTTTCTAATAGAGTTTTAGAGTTTTAATGGCTGTTACTTTGGATGAAAAATGAATCGATTCACATTATGGGAATAGATATGATCTATCTCAATTAAAGGAATGCATTATATTAAATGGTTTTTTAATTTAAAAAAAGCCTAGGAATCAACTGTGAGCTCTCAGATATACAGAATGCAAGAGAATGTAACATGCAGCTCATGATTGAACTGTAAAGGGCTTGGTGCTCTGCGAGCTTGATTGAATTGCATACACAAATGGTCAGGATAGAATTTGGAATAAATAAATTAAAGTCAGATTCATTGGTAAAAGATGATTTATAAAATGAAAATATGCATC